CCTCTGAAGACACGTCTTCTTCTTCTTCTGGAAATAAAAACAAAAACGAAGTGGCATCAAGTTTTAGCAGTTTTAGGAGTTATATTTGGTCATTTTTCAAAAATGGACTTAGCATGAGCAGAAGATGAGACAGAAGACCATGGAGAATATTGTTTTTCACACAAGGCAGCTGACGGCTCCATATAAAGTAAAAGCAATGCGTGTTTGTTTACCCTGCGGAGCGGGGCTCGGTCTGTTTACATTCACACTGTACTCGAACCGCGCTGGAGTTCTCTTCTACCGGACCGAGACCTAGGTTTTAGCCCGGACCAGAGTTCACCTTTTTGTTCCGTGACAGAGTTCGATGGTGCGTTCACACCTCCCCAAACGAACCGGACTTTCTAGGAAAACGGGCTAGAGTTCGATTAAAGCGGACTAAACAGGGCTGGTGTGAATGCACCCTAACATGCATGTTTTTGTTCTGTGGGGGGAAACTGGAGTACCCGCAGAAAACCCACACAAGCACGAGAAGAACATGCAAACTCCACACAGAAAGACCCCAGGTCCAACTGGGGATTGAACTCTGGACCTTCTTGCTGTGAGGCAACAGTGCTAACCACTGAGCCGTCGTGCTGCCATTAACATTAGGTGTTAATAGTTTTGTTTGAAAAACATCACAGATAGTGGCAGGAAAATGTTCGTATAAGTTGGTCGTCCCAATTGATAAACTAAACTGGGAAATGGTTTGTTTAGTAACATTTAACCCAAAACAATCTCCACTAACCTAATCTGACTGAGTGCACAATTACGAGAGTAAAAACATCTTTGAATAAAATTCACAACAAATAACTGCTGTGTTCTGGTCTTTTACTGACGGACAAATGGTGATTGCGTTTAGATTTAGTTAATTTCAACCACATTCTGTGGTTCTTAGAGAGCCATTTAATAAATTTGGTGCAGGAGGAACGAGTGTGAGAGGCAGGCAGCCAGATGGATCGAGTCTACTATCCTTGGCATGCCGGCCACATCCTGCACCAGTGCTGAAAGGTCACAGTTCATGGGCCGGTTTGATGGTTGTGGTGCACCAGAGAGACCACATCCCTGGACTCAAACACACATTCTACACCCCAACACAAGCACATGCAACAAACGGGTAAAAAACAAAAGATTTTATAAACACTAGACAAGGTATCTGCAACATTCATCTTTAAGCAGCCATTTCAAACATATTTCTAAATAACTGAGATTTAATAGGAGCCATAAAAATCTATTTGATTCTTAAAAAAAGATATTAAATTATTTTTACAGTAAATTTTTAAAAACAAATACCTTTTACTGTTGTGTTATTCAACTACGATAGTCCCCCCCACCCCACCCCCCCACACCTAATCAAGAGACTCCAAGTGCTTTACAACACAATCCGGGCTCTCATTTACCTCCACACACACATTCTTACAGCACTCTACTACACCTCTACAAAGACTAATCTGAACAAATCATACTATACTATAGAGATTAATCAGTGCTTTATCACATTCATACACACATGGGACACACATCAGAGGCATTGAGGGGTTCAGTGTCAACCAGGGACACTTCAGCATGTGACTGCTGGTGGAATCAAACCCCCAACCCTCCTATTGGAGGATGACTGCTCTAACCACTCAGCCACAGCTGCCCCAAAAGTGTAAAATCACAAGAAACGAAGTCTATTTCTACAGAAAGAACTGACTTTCTTGTTTAGAAAGATGCACACTGATCACACTGTGAGACATTTGAAGCACTAGCTGAAGACAAACCATGATATTCATGTAGTTAACCGAAGAAATATTTTATTAGAGGCAGGCCTTTCTTCACATATTCATAAGAAACTATCTGTATGTTTTTGCAACACCAAATATTAGCTGCTTAAAATCTGTCAAATCACATAAATGTGCAAAACTCATAATACATTTACAAGTTACAGTATTTTCCGGCCTACAAAGTCAAATCTTTTTGCCTAATTTGCATACCCTGTGATTTATACGCCGAAGCACCGTATTTATGTTTTTTTTTCTCCCAATATTTATAAACCAACGTTTGGCTGAGATATGACCATTTTCATTCATTTTGACATGGAGAATATTGAACACTACCATTTTCAGCAGCTAGCTGGCACTCAAGTAGTATGACATGCCGTTGTGTCATGTAATAGGTGAAATTGGCTATTAATGACACAATCGGCTTGACATAACCTGCCACCTTCGTCCAGCTCTGGGATCATGCCTGGAGCAACAATCAAATCTGCTTCATTTCGCTGCATCACCCCGGTGAAATGCAGCTAATTTGACCAATAAAGTGCCTTTATTAAGTAAAAGTTCAACAGAGACACACCATTACTATAATGCTGAGCAAACAATTGTTTTTAGGTGGTTATCTTGTTAAATTTCAAAGAAATGCACAGCAAGTCATCCTGCTGCACGCTCTTGCTTCCGCGTATCGGCTTTTGAAATGCAGCTAATTTGACTGTTAAAGTGCATTTATTAAGGAAAAGTTAGACTGAGACACATTTTTACTATAATTTCGAGCAAACAAATAATTGTTTTTAAGTGTTAATCTTGTTAAACTCTTCTTAAAGTTCTCCCGTGTATGCTCCCGCGGCCGCCATTTGGCAGCCAATTGATTTTTGGTACAACATCGGCCCACGTTTCCAGGTTGTCAGTGGTGATGCGTAACAAACGCGTCACGTCAGGGGTGACACATAATAGATGCGACTTATACGACGAAGCAACATATTTATGTTTTTCTCCACTTTATTAGACAAATTTGGACTGATGCGACTTATACAATAGGGCTTTAACAGACTACTCGAGTAATCTAAACATCGATTCCTAGGACATCTATTGAGTTTTTTAATTTCACGTTGAGTATTTGTAGTGATGTCATTATGTCGCCGTTACGTCACTGCGTCACGTGATCTGCACCGGGCGCGGGTTACAAAATGGATTCCTCCAAGCAGACTAATGGAGCAGAGCAGGCCCAGTCTTGGCAAACAGGTAGAAATGCATCAGTATTATGGAAATATTTCACTACAGATGAATCTTCCGGTTCAACTACCGTAAGGAAACAGAAAATGAATCAACTTCCTGACTGTTTGGAGCTCGTTGCAAACCGGTGTTGCACCATATTCTGTGACCACCGTATATTGTGACCGTAGGGGGCGGTGTTGCATGCACTGTTGCAGGTCACAGAATATGGTGCAACACCGGGTCCAATGACCGAACCAGAACCAGTTTCCTCTGACCTTGTTTCACAAACTAAAAGCAAAAAATATTAATCTCTAAACCGATAAAAAACCTATAAACATATTAATCTCTAAAACTAAACCTAATGCGCACCACAGCTGGTGGTGGTGCGGGGTGGTCGATCGTCCCACTGTTTTTAGTTTTGTTTTTGTCTTTTACTTTTGCAGCTTAATAATAATAACTAATAGTTGAGTTTTTCCTGTGACTTATTTGCAGTATGATAAATGGTAGGATCATAATATACGCTCCCAATGTTTTGTTGGTCTTCTTTTGTAAATAATGACCTTTTTTGCGGTTTTATTTATTTTTGTATCTTTAGATCCTATTATGTCATCAAGTACTCGAGTTCTACTCGAGTTTTATTATGTTAATGTCGAGTTTAAAAATTATGTAGTCATTCAACCATTATTATACGGTGGTGCGACGTGTACGGCGGAAAATACAGTACTTTAAATATGCTCCCAAAAAAGTGAATTTCCTCGTGGATTTGGAGAATGTGCTGCCTGCTATAAAGATGCAGAAACAAATTATTTTAAAATCGCTGGCTAAGAAATCCCTTCAGCTGTAAAACTGATGACAAAGTGAAAGCTTGAGTCACATTCAGCTGATTGTGGGCCTGAAATGATTGTACATTTTATAACTAATATGTTAGATTTCTGTTACAAACTGGTTTCAAACTGAAAAACAAACATGGATTATTAGGGTCTCTCTACTGCACATGTTGCAAAATATTCAAACAGGTAAACAAAAACAAAAAATTACAATTATTTTATTCTCAGTTTACTAAACAGGTTTGCATTGTTTTTAGTCTGAATTGGAGCTACATCAGTGGGTCTAAAGAGCCACAAATGGCTCCAAAACCACAGGTTGCAGACCCCTGAATTAGACCGGAATCTGAACACGGAGACGTTAGTCTAAGTGTGAGGCAGCTCTCTCCTCCATCACACCACCTGAGACTCCTTCTGCTAGCCACAAGAGTAAACACTGACAGTAAACGATGGTAAACGCATCACTGGCACAGAAAAGTCACTTTCACATAAATTCCAGTCAACCGCGTCTGCAGACTCTTGGGACAAATTAAAGCAGAGACGTTCCACTGAGCTGCTCTCCTCTCCGTCGGAAGGTGTGCAGGCACGTGACTTTTTCCCTTCTTGTCAAAAGTGACATGAGCGGCTAATTTAATGGCTGTGCAGGGAGAAAGAAAAGGGGGTCTTGTATCCACGGCAACCAAACAAACTGAGACACGTGCTTCCTCCTGTTGTTGGCCATGAAGGACGGTTTGGATAAACACCGGGAGAATACTGGAAACTTTCACTCTCACATTTTCACTCACGCGCTCCTGTCTCCACTTCTTTTTTCCAGGTTGCTCTCTCAGGACGCACCATCTTTGGGAAAAATAAGGCGATCGGATACAACAAGACAAGCACGTGTTTCAGTCAGTGGAAGAAAATACTCTGTGGAGACGCCAGCCTCTCTAATTCTTCAAACACTGTTCCAAAGGACATTTTTAGACCGAGCCGTTATGTCATCGTAAAATATCCTTGATACTGAGAGGCCCAGATGCAAGAAGTCTTTTCATCTGTTCTGTTTAAATCCTGTTAATCTCAAAGCCCGACACACATCAAGCTTAAATAAAGACAGACGTATGAAATGTGAGGCATAAACCCAAAAAAAAAAAAAACCTTTTATCTTAGAAAGCAGATGTGAGAAGTGTCATAAAAATGTGCTGGGACTCACAGATCATAGTGCTGGTTCCACTTGGGGTCAAGCGTGTTCCTCACAGTGTCTGTCGAGTGGCATTGCCCTGAACCGTCCACGACTACCTTGGCGAAGGGATCAGGGAGACCTGGAAGACGAGAACAGAACGTCAACACGCTCATGTCACGATGAATATGGTAAATGGACTGTACTTATATAGCGCCTTTCTATCTGATCAAGATACTCAACGCGCTTTACACAACAATCTGTGTCCTCATTTACCCATTCATACAGCACTCTACTAGATCTCTACAAAGTTAATTGAACAAGTCATTCTAAAGAGACTGATCAGAGCTTTATCACATTCATACACTGATGGGACACACATCAGAGGCAATGAGGGGTTCATTGTCTTGCCCAGGGACACTTCAGCATGTGACTGCTGGTGGATTGGAACCCCCAACTCTTGCATTGGAGGACAATTTCTCTAATCACTCAGCCACAGCCACCCTAATATGTTCACAACATATAGAGTTGCTCTTACGTTCACAAATCTGTTCAGACCTGACTGATAGTAATCAGTATGGTTACTAATCAACAAATGAAAGAAAATGTTCACACATTTTGTAGTGGGGTTCTGTGGTAAGTTTATGAACAATTAATAATTTACTTGTTGTAGATAGGTCATGGAACAGCCTCATTTTGGAGAACTTAAGTTGAATTCTGACCAGATTTACCACCTAACAGGTAGTCTGAAGAATTGGGAACTCTACAAACTAGCGCCACCACAAACTACAGTGAAGTTTTGAAACTGGAGTTTAAAGATTGCAGCAATGTACTTTAATGTTGGACCCACTTGGACCAGCCATCAACCTGTCAGTCTGGTCAGAATCAAAGTATTTCTCCAAGCAGATGTCGTTCAAAGAGCTATCGACAACCAGTAAAGCGTAATTGTTCATAATCTTCATAATTATTCACACAAAATCCTAAAAATGTTGGTCACTTGACAGGAAACATGTCTGCTGATGACTTGTGATTTATGGACTGAAGCTGTTGACATTTTGACTCTTAATCTTCAACAGTAAAAGATCTTTCTGAAAAAGATAAAGCCAAAATGACATAATATTTCCAGACGTTCACTGCTAACACATGGGACCTAAGAGCTCGGGAGCCACTGTCCTGCATGTTTTAGATGTTTCTCTGCTCCAACACACCTGATTTGAGTCAGTGGGGAATGAACAGGTTTCTGTAGAGCATGTAGAGGTCATTCAACCATTGAATGAGGCTTGTAGGAGCAGGGAAACATCTAGAACATGCAGGATAGTGGCCATCGAGGACCAGGATTGGATGCTAGCTGCACTAAATATAGTTCAAGCATCGCTGCTAACTGGTATCATCACACCTCCAGCATTTCCCCTAGCATTATTCAAGGAGGTCACTTCGACACACTGACTTGTGCCATCTTGTTTTTAATGTGTACCAAGCAAAATGATGCGCAATCTCCTTGATACCAGAAGAGATAATAACACATGACTTTTCACGTGACTGACCTGTTCTGGACGCGTTTACACTTTGTGTTAAAGTAGGGTTAAATTTTCATGCGTAATTAACGTGTAAACAAAGTGTCACCAACACGTAAACAACACATACTTTACATGTAAATATCACGTTAATTTGTGTTTGACATACACATTTTGTCTGTTTGGATCCATTTTGGTGAACTGCACTACCTAGCAATTTGAGTTGTGTCACTTTTCACTGGCTGACCAGAACTGGGGCTAAACCAATTTAGCAAACCCATTATTCCTCTGTCGTAATTTTTATTTGTTTAAATGTGGTAAACTCCTACATAAACAATATTTAGAATTAGGGATGCGCAATTTTATCTGCATGGTATCGGTATTGGCCAATATTAGCGTTAAAGTTAAATATCAGACATCAGCCATTCCATCAAAATAACTCGCCAATATAAAATACACTGTTTTTGTATGACAACCCAGTGACAAGGATGCCTGCAGCACAACGTGATGACGTCACGTGCGCCTACCTGATCTGATCACGGCAGAGGGGAAGAAGTCAGAATGTCTGCGGTGTAGAAGTTTTTTTCAGTTGAGGATGTTGGATATTCAAAGACTTATGGACTACGTTGAGCCTCGCTACATCCTCCCCAGTCAAAGATATTTTTCCGACGTAACTTTACCCGAGTTACAAGCCGTCACTTCCGATGTCATTGAGAAGCTAATAGTCGATAGCACTTGGGTGAGTTTCACCACGTTAGCATGATTTGTCTTACGGCACAATGGATAGACAAAAACTTTGAACTTAAAAAGTCTGTCCTTCATGTACAGAGTGCAGAGGATCCCACACTGCAGCTAGGAACCTGGAACAAGCCTCCACAAGTGAGACAGCATCACAGCTGACTAATGCTTATACATAACATTTAACACTTTTCATTTAATATAAGTTAAAGTGCTATGCATATCATATGGCTGTTACTGAATAAATGTCACCAGCTCTTACAGCTGTTACACAATTTTTGTAGCAAATAAGCCTAAATAAGAGGACTATGTTCTGACAAAGTAAAGCATATAAAAATATCCGTATCGGTTATTGGCCAAATAAGTTTTAACATATCGGAATATCGGCCAAAAATCCAATTTTGTGCATCCCTATTTAGAATATAGACTTATTACACTGGATGTTGTTTATATAAAGCTTTTATAGCTTTAACTGTTAAAACACCTTTGTCCTTGTTTTTGAAGTTTTATTTCAATGTTACAAACATTAAATGATGTAAAACTATTTAGTCATTACATCTGCTGTAATGGTGCCTAATGGTGCTTAATGTAATATTGTTTACTTTTTTAATGCCCAATGGTGACATTTGTTGTCTGCTTTCTTCCCATCACACATGTGGAGCAGAGGGGAGGCACATGTAGGTGCTTCTCCTAATGCTATACAATAAACATTTTCTTTGTAACTAATCAAATAATAATCAATGTGCTGCTTGGTAATACGTGAATTCATATGTATGCAAAAAATTATGCCTTTTCACACCTAGAGGCTCTGTAAATATTCTTTGAGAAACCTTGAAACACAGCAGTGAGAAAAGCTGCACACTTTGTAAATAAATCATCCAAGTTATAAAACTTTTCACTTATTTATACATTACTATTTGTTTACTTTATGTTACTATTTAAGTGTGATTTTTTTAGCTGGTATTAAAAGCTCAAATCCTTTGTCTCATTGACAACCCCCACTCCCACAGACCAGAAACTGCACCAACTATTCTGAGTTAACACAACATAAGGAAACTGAGTTTTGTCTACATTGTCATTACTGTTCCCCACCTACTCCCAGAGTGAATGTTTGCTCTGCTCCTGAGCTTTGGAATGGCAGGAATGGGCACCACAGAAACCACCCGAGTGAGCAGAGGACCTTAACGCGCTCGTTCACCATGACAGCCTGCCCCAAACAAACCAAAACACTCACAACACCTTAAAGACGTTAAGTCAGCTGTGGTGCAAGAAAGCTGCATGGCAGCATTTTAGTGACACTTAAAAAAAAAAAAAATCAGTCAATTACTGCTTAGAACAGGCATTATTTCAATTTAATGATGGGACACCATTCCACTCCTGAACATATGTAGAAAAGCATCACATCTGTTCAAATGGCCAAATATGTAGATACTAAAGATGTCTGATGTCTCTGCAGCCACTTTATGAGCCTTAAAGGGCCTTTAAGTGTACACACACACAAATCTAAAAAAAACTCATCTCAACAAAGTTTAAAAACCAGTAACAAACAGATACAAGGGCTGATACTTACGAAAGAAGTCCTTCTTCGCCAGGTTTTTGGCACACAGAACTAGAATAAAAAGAAGAAAAAAAACAGGTATTAAAATGACATAAAACATCAGACAAGTGATATCCTGATGCATCCTCAATAATGCTCATCAGACAAGTGATTAAAAAACTATGTTGTTAACATTTGTTTATGTTTTTGCATTAAAATTGTGCTGAAAATAACAAAAAAATGAGCTGGGTAAATGTTAAAACAGACATGTTAAATATTGAGATATTTTGCTAACAGACAAAGTTATAATACTACAGTTAATGTCAACGTTTTAGGCACATTCACCGTATAGCGCTTTAAGTATGTGTTGAGGATGATCCTCAGCTACCACCACACCAAATTTTAGCTCAATATTTGCCCAATCAACTCAGCTACAGCTAGTTTTGGGTTTAATAAAAAACAATTGTGGACCAATTACTTTCTGAAAGTTGCATTCAAATATATACAGTGGTTCATGAGATATTTTGCAGTTAGTGCTCAGATTATAAGTTGTGACTGACTCTCAGCTGCTGCCACACTGAATTTTAGCTCAGTAATTGTGAAAGTGACTGAGTGATAGTCATTTTTATGTTTTGGTGGGGCAGTTGGCTATGGTGGCCATCTTGAATCCAAATGTTCCTCAGTTGTTGATGGGTATCCATTTCTGAGAGTTCCAATAAGATCTGTCCACTGGTTCATGAGAAACTTTGGTTACATAACAAACCAAACACACACACGCACACACACACACACATGCATATTTGCACAGTAATCCAGCACATTCCTATAATTATAATTTATCCAATACCAGTTTTGGCTTTCTTTATATTATTAATATTTTTCTGTGATTACATCAACAGAATGGGAACCAAACTTCTGATTTAAATTAAATTAAAGTTTCGCTACAAGTGATATCACAAGAAAAACAGAGTCCAGACAAAGAAAAGTTGATTTGTTTTCTTAATCCTCCAGACGTTAAGCTGGAGGTGGAGATGTTTAGTCATCATTTCTCCATCAGCAGCAGCGTGCCTGCAGCAAAGAGTTGGATCCTGACAGTCTACTGTATAAAGCTGTGGAGGTGGTTGCTGAGGAGATGAAGCAGAGCCACTAACTCCTTCCTGCGTAAAATATGGATTGATGAGGAAGCTCTCCAACCACCTGGGTGTCTGGAGTTCAGAGTTACAGCCAGTGAGTCAGGCACATGGAAACATTTCACCCCCACTTGTACTGAAGTTACCTCTGAAGAACAGCGTGTGAGTCGATGATGCATTTAAACAGTACTGACACAAACTTTAAGCAGTGAGAGTGTGATTATGTTTGAAGATATTTGCTGTAAAATGGGGGGGAGAAACAACATTTGGATTCTGTAAGTAAATGTGCCAAAAAAGAGGGGGTAGCGTCTGCAAAGTATGTGATCATGTTGATGTTGTAACATCTGCTCGCCAACACTTAGAGCTGCAGCTGGAACGATTCAAGGCGAGACGCAACATTAATGATCTCATGGCCGCTGCCTTTCCTTTATTTTCTTCAATGAGGCTTACATGATACCCGACACATGTTGCCGCTCCGCCGTGCTTTAGGCTTCATAAACCTGTTCTCACGCCACAGCTGTTGTTGGAAGTCCTGTACGCTGGGATTATTTATAGTCCGCACCCTCTCTGAAATGTGTTTCGCTTGTCATCACTTGGGCTAATTGCAGAGTCGCAGCGATCAGTCGACAAATTATATGGCAGAACGTTGTTTTCAACAACAAAACAGGAAATTATTTTAAAAAGCAGACAAGTATTTGGGATATTTTGAATATTGTCAATTCAGCTACTGCTTGCTACAGCATACTTCAATTGAGATTTTGTTTGTAATAATCTAAGGCAGTTTTTAAACTTTTCAGCTTCCGAGCAACAAAATAGCAGTGGCCGAAGAAGCTTAGCATCCCGAATATTACAAGTTAAATAAGGCATGATGTGCAATATTGGTGTTCGATATGGTCTACGATTTATTGAAGTCCAAGAAGTCATTTTGCAATACTCATATTCTGCTCACTGATACTGTGATGATACATTTACTAGATAGTTAAAGCTTTAATGAAAACAACTTTGGACTATTATTTTACTTTTTATTATACAGTAGTCCCTCGTTTATCATGGGGGATCAGTACCCTGAAGCCACATTATAAGTGAAAAACTGCAAAGTAGGAATAGTAGTACAAGTGTGTGTGTATGTGTATATATATATATATATATATATATATATATATATATATATATATATATATATATATATATATATATATATATATA